ACGAAGTGACAAAGTGGCGAAGTAGCGAAGTGACGATGTGACGAAGTCAGGATGTAACGATGGGACGATGTGACGAAGAGACGAAGTGACGATCTGACGAAGTCACGATGTGACGAAGTAGCGATGTGACGAAGTCACGATGTGACGAAGTAGCGATGTGACGAAGGGACAATGTGACAAAGTGGCGAAGTAGCGATGTGACGAAGTCACGATGTAACGATGGGACGATGTGACGAAGAGACGAAGAGACGAAGTGACGATGTGACGAAGTGACGATGTGACGAAGTCACGATGTGACGAAGTCACGATGTGACGAAGTAGCGATGTGACGAAGTCACGATGTGACGAAGTAGCGATGTGACGAAGTCACGATGTGACGAAGTAGGGATGTGAGGAAGGGTCAATGTGACAAAGTGGCGAAGTAGCGAAGTGACGATGTGGCGATGTGACGAACTGACGAACTGACGATGTGGCGATGTGACGAAGTGGCGATGTGACGAAGTAGCGAACTGACGGTGTGACGAAGTCACGATGTAACGATGTGACGAAGTAGCGATGTGACGAAGTGGCGATGTGGGGAAGTAGCGAAGTGACGATGTGGCGATGTGACGAAGTGACGATGTGACGAAGTGACGATGTGACGATGTGACGTTGTGACGAACTGACGATGTGGCGAAGTAACGAAGTGGCGAAGTGAGGAAGTGACGAAGTCACGATGTAAGGATGTAACGATGTCACGATGCGACGAAGTCACGATGTAACGATGTGACGATGTGACGTAGTGACGATGTGGCGATTTGACGAAGTGGCGATGTGACGAAGTAGCGAACTGACGGTGTGACGAAATCACGATGTAACGATGTGACGATGTGACGATGTGACGAAGTGACGATGGGACGAAGTGACGATGTGACGATGTGAGGAAGTGACGATGTGGCGAAGTGACGATGTGACGAAGAGACGAAGTGACGATGAGACGAAGTAACGATGTGACGCTGTGAGGAAGTAACGAAGGGACGATCTCACGATCTGACGAAGTGACGATGTGAAGAAGTGAGGAGTTGGCGAAGTGAAGATGTAGCGAAGTCAAGATGTAGTTATCTGGGGATGTAACGGTGTAACAATGTGACAGAGTAACGATGTAAATAGATGGCACGGTGTCGACGTTTTATATGTATATGTCTGGCGATGGCTATATATTTCTCCTAACCTGTCAGTTTTTATCTATCGCAAGTCATGGCGGATGAGATATAGATTTGAGGTGATGTAGGAGTGGCCTTCATCGTAGGCCGCACATAATAGGGTATTAGAGATCTCTTAAAGTATATTAGCATGCGAGAAGTCTATTAATAAAGATGAAATTACAAATAGAGAATAATACGTTAACACACAAATATAATATTCAATCTTTCTGTATATGTCTATCCATTGAATTCGAGATTGAATTTTTGTACTCGATGATTTCTCCAATCGACGACATAGAGATTCCCGTGTCGATCAAATGACAAGCCGACGGGTCCCTTGAGTTGGTTCGATTGTCCTCCACTACCGTTTCCACCAACAATGACAGTTCCTTGTGTGGCTCCTTTAGGCCAACGTATGATTCGATTATTCCATTCATCAGCCACATAGACAGTGCCCAATTGAGCGACAACGACTCCTTCAGGAGATGACAATTGTGTAAGATCATTTCCTTCTCCTTGACCACCAGCCACGACAATGCCTTGTTTTGCACCTTCCATCCATTTCATCACACGATGATTGTTCCAATCCGATACGTACACTGAATGATCTTGATCGATGAATACGTATCGTGGGCGAGAGAGTTGATCGAGACGATTTCCACTTCCATTGCCACCTGCAACCACTGTTCGTTGAGATTCTCCTCTTCGATATCGTCTCACTTCATGTTTTCCAACATCAGTGACATAGAGAGATCCATTCTCGTCCATTGTCAAACCCACACATAAGATGTTGGAGATGATTGTTTCTCCACTTGTCCCATTTCGACGAGGCCATCGAACCACTCTTCCATTCAAATAATCGCATATGATGAGACTATCTCTCTCTTTGTCGATAATCACATCTTGTGGGTAAGACAATTGATGATCTCCACTTCCTTGTCCATTTCCACCGGCAACCACTTGGCCACTTGTTGCACCTCGTTTCCATTCCACAATACGGTGATTCCATGTATCAGCAACATAGATTGTTTGATCATCATCAACATACAAACCCAATGGGTTTGATAGTTGATTGATTCCATTGCCTTGTCGATTTCCTCCAGCTACAGTGATACCATTTTGTTGCCATCGAGCATTCGGATGAATATCAATGGAACTCCCACGTAATGGATGGACTGAAATCGAGAAAGAAAGGAGAGAGAGGATAAAACAAGAGAGAAAAAAAATGAAAAGTTCATTTGAATTTTTGCAAAGTTAACATCGTTCCAAATTTTGACTTGTTTTCGGATTTCTTATTTTGACACTGAGGTGTTTTCTATTTGGTTTTCTTTATTATTTAATTTATCATAGAATAACTATTGATATATGTTCTTTTTTTTTGTTTTTCTTTTCGACTATCTTTATATCTTACATTTTGAATTAGTAGACTTCAAAAAAAGAATTTAGTAGAGTTGAAATGTACGTCATCGTACGTAATTAATAAAGGGAATATAATTTATGGTCAGTAAAATAAATGAAATGATCAGTAGAATAAATGAATGGTCAGTAAAAAATGAATGATCAGTAAATTATTTAAATGGTCAGTTATTAAAATAACTGGTTTGTTAATACATTTAAAGGTCAGTAAATTAATTTAAATGGTAAGTATAAACATCGAAACGTGTTATACTATCACCTCACCCGTGCAAACAGCGCCTTAGAGGCAATTAATAAAAGAAACAAAAATGATGAAATAATTAGAGAATGTCATGTTTTATGGAGATTTTTGATAATAGCTTCAAATATTGTCGATAGTTGGTGAACTGGACGAAACTCTTCTTCAATTAATGCAAAATATTTGTTACAGAATCAACAATATCTGCAGAATTGTAGACTTTATCCTATCAATGGTCTTTTTCATTAAAAAACTTAGTTGGCCTTCCAAATGATGCTTCAGACTAATATTGTATTCGAGCTAGTCATTTACAATCGATTACATAAGTCGATTTAAATAAATATATAAATAAAAAAATTGACAACTTTGATGCAATTCAAAAATCATTTAATATTTGGTGTTTGGAAATGAAACATGGCTCAGCTTGGAAAACATCAAATGCAACTGTTTAGGTTTTTTTGAAGAACTGCATATGCAAACATATTGTAGATGTGTCTGTTCATTTGAAATATTGTAAGCCACTAGCAAAAAAAAACGTCTCGATCAATGAGAAAAGAAAACAGAGGTAGACTAGTGAAAGCTAAGCCTATATTGCTAGTATAATAATTGAATTTTCATTTTCTTTTTTGCTT